GTGTAACGACAGCTTGGGACTGCTTTGCCTTGCCAGGAGAGTGTTTTCTGGGTTGCAGCAGGCAGTATGCCTGGCTCGCCTCCTGCGTTTAAGATAAATAGACCCACACCGTTGATCAAATGCTGTGCCACCCGCGTGGCCAGAAAAATCAGCATCGCTGGGAACAGCACGGTCCTAAGCGTGAATTTTGTCTGACACCTGCAGCCTGAGTGGTGAGGTGGAAGGACAAGGACACAGGCTCCTCTCGATGGCCTCCCCGCATCCATCCAAGACAAGCCTCATGGTTTGTCCAGACAAGCCCGTCTGCTGAGGCTGTAATCGAGCGCAGTGGGAGACGGGAGGGTCACGCTGGTCTTGCAGAGCCCTTGCCAGTCCTTCCCTCCTCCTGGTGAGCGGCAGCTCAGCCCGCAGCAGCGGGGATGTGTTCTCCAGCCTTTCACCTCATTATCACCATCTTACTGTGGTAAGAGCAAGAGAACCCAACTGAGGTTTGGAAAGGTCCTTGTAGGTCATGCTGTCAAGTGCCTTGTTATCACAGGCGCTCTGTACTTTAATCCTCTTCCCAAGGTCCTCTTCAGCAGAAGCTGGATGTCTCCTTACCCGCCCAGCTAAGCAGAAGGGCACAGTGCAGAGGAGGGCATCGATGGTGAGCAAGAGAAGGGAGCTAGCAGCAGAACCAGCTCCCCTGAATTGCCCTGCTGTGTCCTGTCCTTGCTAATCCTGCGAAGCATCACATGTGAGACAGGAGGGAGAAGGAGCTTGGGGCCTCTCTGGAGTTGAAAATATTTATTTTTTCTTAACTACACATTGATTGTGCCACAAGGAAGAATTTGGGTTGGAGAAGCCAGTCACAGAACCCCTCTGTATTTTTGTCTTTAGCCTGTGAGTTTACAACTTACATGAAAGGAAGAGAAAAATACAGCAGAAGCAACAAGAACCAAATGATATAATGATCTGTTTTTCTAAATTTTACTGTGTTACAGGGATGGAGCACCATCCATCCCGGCACACAAGACTTCTGGGAAGCCAAGAAGAACAAGGTATTCCCGTTTCAATATTACCAGACAAGCTGCCATGCGGCTACCATGTTTGTATTTCTCTTTTGGCAAAAGACAAATAAAAAGCAAAGCCTCAAAGAAACCCAGCTCCCAAACCAAGTCCACTTGAAAAATGTATTTCTGTCATCTCCACCATGGTTTATTTGACTGATCCCCGGTGGGAGTGGGGAGTGGACTCCAGAGATAAGGTCGTATGTCTTTATGGTGGCAGATCTTCTCACTACTGAAGATTTTCCTTCACACAACATCCCATACTGCATGATTATTTTTTTTTTTTAAAAAAGCTGATTTACTTGGAATACTTACTCCTTCTTTCCTTCCCCCTACCCCACCTGCTTTTTTTTCCTATATCTCCAGAAACACAGTCCCCATTCTTTTCTGAAATGGCTATGTGTCCCTCAGCATCTCTTCTAAGAAGGAGCACCAGCTCTGGGGAAATACTGATGGCAGTAAATTGCAGCCATCTACCCCTGGGCTTAACGCCAGTGGAGATCGGAGACATGGAGGACTCTGCTAAGAAGCTGTGTGACTGGCAGCTCTTAGACACTTTTGCCTGCTCGTTGCACCTCGGATGTCCTCTCAGTTCTGCTGAGCTTCTGAAGCACAGGCTGCAAGGTTGGCTGCATCTTCAGGGAAGTCCAAGTCTTGGAACCCACAGAGTACAAGAGTCTTGAATGCCGACTGCAAATGCTTTTTGCCTTTCAGGACAACGTGTTGGGCTTGCCACCCCTGGAGCTGTATGATGCTTCAGGGTCAATCTGAAACTAGGAAAGTGGAGACACTATATTTGAAATGAATTCGGCTTCTGGATCCTGAAGAGGGACTTTGGGAGGGAGTGCCATGCCTGGAAGAACGAGGTGACAGTAAGATGGCCATTGAAGGGGAGTTCGTGCGTGTGCTGGCAGCTGTACCCCAAGGCCAGGCACAGAGCTGTTGCAGGAGCAAACCTGTTGCTCACATGAAGAATGAAGCTGTTCTCACTTCATTCCTCAGGCTGCCCTTAGGGAGAGAAAATAGCATCTACAACTGAGCCAACATCTAGAGGAGTCTCTGCCTCACAGGCATCCCCGAAAGCTACATCCAACACGCAGGGCTGGGCAAGTGTCCTGCGTCGTTTCCAAATGAGGAGCAGGTTGGGTTCATAAACACCTGGTAACACGGAGCCTACGAACAAGCAGCAACTGAACTTCACGCGGGACAGTCACCTCGTCCTGCAGATGCACACCTCGGTGAAGACGTGTGCATGAAGCAGCTTCTTGGGGGCAAGGGAGGAAAGCGACGCCTCTGAGCTCAGTGTTGGGAAACAGTCGCTGCTTTCCTGCAGCCCAGAGGGCCAGGGACAGGGGATGGAGGGAGGTCATCCAAGCTGGGGGTGGGGGAAGGATTGCAAAGTGATGCCAGGCTTGTCCTGGCTTTGGAGAAGGCTGGCTGGTCTTGGAAACACAGGGGTAGCAAAGCAGGTAACGCTCTCCCTGGCAAGGGCTTGGTTTATCTTTGGGCTTGACATACTCGGTGAGAATACGCCATCTGCTCTGCCTGGCGTGGCGCTGCTGCCAGCAGCCAGCTGGGCAGGGGCGAGTGTCAAGGGTTTTGCGTGGGGCTAAGCAGCCTGGGATGAGTCAGCTTCCCACTGACCAGCTCCACAGCGAGCAGCAGCACTAACTTTCTGGTGTTAGCAGCTCAGAGCACAGATCCATAGAAATAACTGCTTATATGTATAATCTCCTTCCATCTGTCTCTTCCGTCTATCGTGTATACCAGCTAGATTCAGCCTAATCACTAGCAAATGATGTCGTGATGACCTGTAAGATTCACTCCCCTATAACCCTTCAAGTCTGTCTGATTCTTCACCCCCAAGAATGTGACTGTTGGTTTTGGTGAGGTTGAGATTTGCGTGTTTAAGGCTTTAGGTAGCCACTGTCTCCTCAGAGCTCTGCAATGCTTTCCCACAAATCCCAGTGTCCGGCTAAGTCACTGGCGGCTGAGCAAGAGGATGTGTTTTCTGGGCTAACGCCCCTTTCCAGCAGAGTGGTCCCAGCGGTGGAGGTGGTTGATCTCAGAGCAAGGAACCATGCTTTTGCACCTTTATCCTTGAGACCTGCTGCAACTGTGCATCAGGTCTTTGGCATTTAAGTCATTTTATAAAATCCCATTTGTGGAGCGTTTGCCTTTCTCTTAGGCTTTTCTGTTATTTAGTAGGTGTTTTATCTCTTCTAATGTGCCCAAAGGAGTTTTGGTGCATCTGTGCTGTTGAAAAAGGGTTGGCATTAAGCAAAAATTTCTTGCCTTTTGATGATTGAGAAAGCAGGAGTAGGGGTGGGGGGAGACATTTAAGCAGGATTTTATGTTGGCCTGAAAAAATGAAGAATCCATTCCAGACAAGAGCCAGATGGACAAAAGCCATGACACAAATCTGAGCTCTGACAGCAGCAGCTTACCTGGCTCTGGCAGACCAAGCAGAAAACAGTGCGTGGGCCTCAGGAACCTCTGCAGCCCATAAACTTAAGAGCTGTTTTCAAAAAAATAACCTCTTGCTTTTTTGCATAACAGCTCTCACATGGAAGGAGTCTGAACAGTGTTGACGTGCAGCAAAGAGCAACGCTGCACCGGCAGCTGCTGCGGGAGGGGAGGGCGAGCAGTGGAAATCAGCCCCAGGCCTTCGCGTGCTGGGGTGGAGCTGGGTTAATGGGATCAGTGTCCATATAGGACTCTTCTAGCATGTGTCTTAATTTCCTGTTTTTTTAAGAAGTAAGTTTTATATTCTAGGTTTTATTTTTGCGCTTGGCATAGTGTTGGTCCCACTGATTGCCTAAAAAGCCTTATTGTGTTACAGGCAGCTCTGATTTCCCTAGAACAATACCTGCGCCCCTGCTGCTTTCTCTTGACCTCATATAACCAGCTTCAAATTCAGCAGAGAGGTAAAGTGTTAGGATAACTGTCAATAAATAGCAGGCCTTTTACATCCCTGAATGCCTCATTCAGTCCTCAACAAAGAGCTGGATAAGTTCAGGGAGTTGTCTCTCATGACCAGTGATGGAAACTCCTGTTGCTTGGGCTGTTCTCAGCTAGACTGGGCTAAAACATACTGTGGGAAACAACGGTGTGCGGAAAAGTGTGTGATTTAGCATATGTAACGTGGTGATTGAGAAGGATAGTTACCGATGTAACTGTCTGCATAAAGCTACTTTCCAGGTTTAGGGAAAGCGTGTGTGCTGGTTTCAAAGGGAGATCATTAATAATAATGTTAGTAGCATCTAAGAGGTGTTTTTCATCTATGTACTGCTCAGACATGAACTTGTCAGCATGTGACATGCTTCTGGCTAGATTACTCCTGCCACGCAGGATTTGGGACAGGTCTCTCCTGTCTGTTTAGAAATTGCCCGAAGACAGGATGGTGGTTTGCATAGCGTGCCTGCCGGCAGATCCCTGCTCCCAGCTCCTGTCCCACGGTGCCACCATCCTGCCCCAGAGCCTTGTGGCAGCCAGTAGCGTCCCCCCGATGGACCGGGGAACTAGATGCATGACATGACCTCCACGGAAACTGGGCACTAACAGGCTCCTTCTTGTTTGCAGGACCTCTCCCTCTGTGGAAAGGGGAGTTTCCCAGCAGAGGCCAGGTCTGAGCAGGAGCCTCCCTTGCCATGATCCCAGGGGAGCTCACACAGAGCAGCTCTCCCAGGCCAGGGCTGCTTGGTGGCTTCCCCAAACCTCACACCCCCTTGGACTATCCAAGCCCGAGACCCACTGACCACACTGGTGGAAAAGGTCAGACGGGAGAGCAAGACATCAGATGTCTGTGTGGTCCTACAGGTCTGAGGATGCTTTAGGTTTTCATGGCTAAGTAACGCTGGTAGCTCCATGGAGCTTCGGGGTCCAGCTCAGCCTGTGACACCATGACCGGGAGCCCTAGAGTGACACTGTCCCTTCTCTGTCCACTTCCAGCCGTCCAGGAGGAGAGGCAGCGGGGGAAGGACCGCAACGAGAATGAGGTGGAGTCAACAAGCAGCGCCAATGAGGACATGCCCGTGGAAAAGATCTTGGAAGCCGAACTCGCGGTGGAGCCAAAGACAGAGACGTACATTGAAGCGAATATGGGCTTGACGCCGAGCTCGGTAAGGCTCCTCTCGCCTTGGTGCTTGGGACAGAAGGGAGGGCTTGTGGGGTATCGGCATCGATCTAGCACGAATACAGCAGTGGGCCTCGGTCAGAGAGGGGTTATCTTATGGGAAAAGAAATAAGAGCTCAGAAATGCAACCTCTCAGCTCTGCTGTAGACAGCCTGTGTGAGCTGAGATGAAAGCATGAGGAAAGCGAACCCCTCTGCCCCTGCGCAACCGCCAGCGTTTCCTGTCTCACAGCCATAGGGAAGGAACAGATACTGAAAGGTGTGATTAGAAGGGCTCACAGAGATTTTATTTTAGTTAACAGCCCTTAGTACTAAAAGGCAGGAAGACACTCCGTACTCTGAAGAGCTCAGAGTCCATTCAAGCCAGTAAACAGACCTGTGTGGCTGAAGTGCAAAGAGATAAGAGCTGTAAAATTAAGGTGTGACTTTTCAGATGCAGAATTATACAGCTGCTTGGCTCTAAGAAGATAAAACCTGGAGAAGTTTGCTGAGAAGTTTGCTTTCAAATTCCTTCCCCATTTAGAAGCTTACATTATAACTGGGCCTGCTTGAAGCATCTGGGCTCTAACAGGCCCTCGTGTAAACAAGAGATAGCTGACAGGGAAATAGGAAAAGAGTGAGAAGCTGTGATGAGGGAAACTGTCTTGGACCCTTTCCTAATAGATTCCCTTATCAGCAGGTTATAGCTTTGCTTAGAGAAAGCCTCCCTGCAAAGCAGCTACCTCCAAATGCGAGAGCCAACCTATCCTCTAAAATTCCGTCTCCAGGATAGACCCCAGGCAAAGCCCTCATGAAGAGCCCTATTCCAGAGAAAGTACTTGCTGCCCAGTCTAGGCAGCATTTAGGGTGCAGTCCCCATTCCTCAATAGCCCTTGTTCCCGTGGAAGGCATGGGAAGAGAGAAATGCCTCTAAAGGGTAGGACTGCAGGGGGGGCAAGTAATATAGCAGTAGGGTCAGGAGTGGGGCTAATTACCCCCACCCCGGGGTACCCCGGGGAAGCCCTGGGGTACTGAAGGGACTGGGGAGTCTCAAAGCAAAGAGAGGGAGGGGGAGAGGAAAAGAATAGATGGCCATGCACCCTTGCGCATATGTTTTTGGGGCTGGGGTCAGCTGCACGTGTTGAATTTCCCGTTCGGGCGATGCCTTCTGGCAGGCACAGCCCAGCCCCCAGCATGCTCTGTTAGCAGGAGAGGGCACCGCCGCTGCAGGGTGTCATCAGGGCTGCGGAGGTGGAGGTTACCCCAAGACCCTGCTGGCTACTGCCAGCCCTGCTGCTGGGGAGGGGAGAGGCTGGAGCGGGGAGCATCTCCCGGCTGCCTCGCAGTGCTTCGGGGGGGCACAGAGCTGCAGCTGGGGCTCTGCGAGCGTGCAGGCTGGCTGACCTGGGAGAGCAGGATCGTACGCTGAAGTATCCCTCTGCATTTCTTACTGCTCTGTGCTAGGTGTCTGTGAGGTTGAGATGATGAAGGGCAGCTCTTTCTAGCAAGTGGAAGGACTCTGCAGTGTTTATTTTCTGCTAAAATAATACTTTACCTCTTTCTTTATATGAGGCTTGGAGGATTGAGCCAGGAATACCTTATCTTGCCAGGCTTGACAGGAGATCTGAGAGTCCTTGTAGGAGTCTAAGTCTTGACTGCCTCTATGGAATGCTCTTTTTGGCCTTCACCTGCAAGGACATTTTATGGCTGGCTTGCTAGGTAAGGCTTTTCAGTGCATAAGGCTTCCTTCTATGGACAGAGACAATTGCTCAGTGGAACTCTCCAGAAGCAGATACAGGGCCATGGTGCTCCTCTGCCTTTGAGAGCCCAGTTGCGCCTGCGGGCGGTGATGCCTTCCAGCCAGAGAGTCCCGTCGCCGTGAAGCTGCGAGGGGCTTTTTTGGAGGAGGCAGCTCCGCCGTGGTTAGCGAGGGGCTCGGAGAGGCTCCGACGGCTATCAGGATTCAAAATACTTCAGGGGAGTTGTAGCCAGCGTTGTGCTGACTTGAAAACAAACCCCAGAGAGCGAGCTGAAATAAATGGCTTCGTCTGGCACTGCATCTCCTCAGCCTCTTGTAGCAAATTGAAAGCTGGTTCCTGCATAATTCAACACGCATTACTGTGAACAAGGATGCGTGTTGCATCTAAATAGAAGCAGGAGGCTTGCTGAAATGCCCTATTATTGTCAAGCGGCTCCTGTCGATGAGGTGACATTTGTAGCAGGTTTAGCAGATGTGTGAGATCAGCAGCTCACTGTGACGAGGCCACCGGATGAGGCGAGGGAAGATGGAGGACCTGCCCTCCTCCCAGCCCTCCCCAGAGAGCCCATGTGGTGGAAAGGCAGGCAGATTCAGGGGTAAAACACAAGCTATTCCCTATTAGCCTGGTGTGCTGGGTCCTTTTCTTTGTGCCCCGGCACCTTAGCCCATCTGCACTGAATGCTGCGGGTGAGCTGGAGAGCTCCGGTGCTTGCAAGGGCCTTGCTTGACACCCTAGAGGTGTCACCTTGACACCATCCTAGAGGATGGGTTACCTTCATGGGTTGAAGCCTGTGACAGAGCAAGGGGAGTACAGTGGGGTGTGATCCTTGTGGGTGGCATGGACAGGACGGGGAAGGCTGCTGGGCCAGGCAGAAAGCAGCTGAGACAGAGGGATGTGCCCCTGCAAATCTGCTCTCCTGCCTAGGGTGGTAGGAGAGTGCCAAGACGAGCGTTTCCATCACCATCACTAAAACACTCGCTTTCTTTGCATCGGTGAGCCCCTGATAACAGCTCTTCGGCCGCTGCAAATAGCTAATTGCAACAGTTGTCTGGCTTCTGACCGTGGCAAAGGGGATAAACCCTTTGGGAGGTTCCCACAAGCTGTAAAGGAGCATGGCGACAGGATTCCCCCACGCTCTGTGTCCCAGGAAGCCCCCAGACCCCGTGTGATCCCTTTCCCTCGGGAGCTGGGGACTGGCTGTACGCCCTCAGCAGGTGCCTGTCCCCAGGCAGTACGACGGGGCGTGAGGATGTGTTTGCCTCTGTCCCCTGTCCCTGGCAGCCGCGAAGCTGGGCTCCTGCAATGTAAGCACCACCTTGGATGGGCTCCTGGCCACTGAAAGGCAAAGCCTGTAACTGAGAGGCGTTATCCCCATTAGCTCTTAATTGGCCTTTGAGCAGCTGGTTTCAAGTCACCATTTTCTGGAAGATGTCTCCAAGCTCTGGTTTTCCAGAAGGATCAGGTGCCCGTGTGTCCTTTCATTCTGTCACACTCCGGCACTGTGCCCTTACTATTTACTGCAGGAGTGGATTTACTTACCGTGCATGGGGAGAGTTTCTAGCACGGCTTTGCAGATGCCCTCCTGGAGATGGGCAGGACCCTTTCGGCCTGCAGGAATGATACTTTGAGCTGCCTCTCAATCTACGGTGATTAAATTCTGCCAGGAAGCACCGTGGTGGTTCCAGGAACTGCCATCTGAGGTTTAATTAAAGGCTGGGCCTCTCGCTGAGGCTTTGTATGAAGCACCGAAGGCTGGGGACAGCTTGTGCTGCCTGCAGAGCAGCGGTGATACAGCCTGGGCTGGGGGACCCAGAGCCTGGGCTTGCTGCATCAGGGCGAGTCCTGGAGACGGCGACAACCTGCCCAGAAGCAACCTCTGATAAAAGCTTTGGCAAAAACATCTAACTTTCCTAAAATACCCCTTTCATGGGGCTGTGCAGGCACTTGTTGCTTCATGGGTCAGGTTCTGCTGGAGCATGGGGTCTCCCGTAAGTCGTGTCCTGCTCTGGGACATGCAGGGCTCCATCCCCACAGGAGCTGGGACACCTCGGTTCTCCACCTGGCTACTCCAGCTTGCCGACCCAACTCAGATGACTTGAAGTTGGTGGTGTTCCTGTAGCCTGAGCCATGGGTGTCCCTTCTCACCCTTCCTGCAGATGACTCTGGATGCTGATGTTCACTGTGTTTCCAGTGGAACACTTAACCCTGCAAAGCTCCTCTTCACACCCAGTGTAGGGTTTTCCTGTTGCCCCGTCTTCTCTTCCTCTCCTAGGGAAAAGCCCAGTCCCTGCTCATGTCTCCTTCCCCAGGGAAGACCCCTAGCTCCCTCGGAGTGAGACTCCCCTGCCCTTGCACCTCTCAGGGGAGCTGCTGGAGACAGAGCAAGGAGGGAACGTCCCCGTAACGATGCTCCTTGCTCCTCAGCCGCGCTGCTGAACACGATCCCATTCCCATCCATCTCTGCACGCAACAGGTGAAAATACTTTGAAGGCGGGTGCCCCTGAGCTTGCCAGATGCTGGTTATTTTAAGCCTGGAGAATGGGAGACATTGGCCACTGAGGCACAGAGTTTGTGTTTGCTGCCAGGGGACAGCAGAGGGGACTGGGCAGGGGTCCGGGGCACGGCTCTGGGGGGGCAGGAGTGAGACTTGTGAGCAGCCTGGTCCTCGTCTCCCCAGCCTGGGAGAGGGGTTTGCCATAGAGCAGCTTCTCGTGA